ATCAAATCAACAATCTAACCTTATAACTTAAGGAACTAGAAAATGAAGAAGCAAACCCAAAGCTTGCAGAAGGAAGAAAATTTGAAAAAATTAGAGCAGAGATAAAATAAATAAAAAATAGAGAAATGATAAAAAAAAATCAATGAGACCAAAAGTTGGTTCTTTGAAAAGTTACATAAAACTGACAAACCCCGGGCCGGCCCTGTGGCTTAGCAGTTAAGTGCGCGCGCTCCGCTGCTGGCGGCCCGGGTTTGGATCCCAGGCGCACACCGGCACACCGCTTCTCCGGCCATGCTGAGGCCGTGTCCCACATATAGCAACTAGAAGGATGTGCAGCTATGACATACAACTATCTAGTGGGGCTTTGGGGGAAAAAAATAAATGAATAAAAAATTTAAAAAAAAAAAAAAAAAAACCTGACAAACCTTTAGCTGGACGGATTTAGGAAAAAAGAGAGAAGATTCAAATTACAAATTTGAAATTACAAATTTCAGAAATGAAATGTGGGTCATTCCTACTGATTCCACAGAAGTAAAAGGATAAGAAAGTACTAATGAAAAGTTGTATGCCAAAAAGTTGGATAACATGGATGAAATGGACAAATTCCTAGAAACACAAAACCTACCAGGACTAAATCATGAAGAAATAGAAAATCTGAGTGGACCTATAACTAGTAAGGAGACTGAATCAGTAATCAAAAATCTCCTGGCAAATAAAAGCCCTGGACCTGATGGCTTTACTGATGAATTCTACCAAACATTTAAAGAAGAACTAATACTAATCCTTCTACAACTTTTCAAAAAAAATTGTAAAGTAAGGAACTCTTCCTAACTCATTCTATGAATCTAGCATTACCTTGATACCAAAGCCAGACAAAGACACTATAAGAAAAGAAAACTACAGACCAATACCCTTATGAACATTGAGGCAGAAATCCTCAACACAATATTAGCAAACCAAATGCAGCAGCATATTAAAAGGATTATACACCATGACCAAGTGGAATGCAAGGATGGTCCAACATACAAAAATCAATCAATGTAATATACTATATTAACTGAATGAAGAAAACTACATAATTATCTCATTGCTGCAGAGAAAGCATTTGACAAAATTAAATACCCTTTCATGATAAAAACACTCGGGCCGGCCCCGTGGCTTAGTGGTTAAGTGCGCGCGCTCTGCTACTGGTGGCCCGGGGTTCGTATCCCGGGTGTGCACCAATGTACCGCTTCTCCGGCCATGCTGAGGCCGCATCCCACATACAGCAACTAGAAGGATGTGCAGCAACTATGACATACAGCTATCTACTGGGGCTTTGGGGGAAAAAAAAGGAGGAGGATTGGCAATAGATGTTAGCTCAGAGCTGGTCTTCCTCAGCAAAAAGAGGAGGATGAGCATGGATGTTAGCCCAGGGCTGATCTTCCTCACAAAAAAAAATAAAATAAAAATAAAGGGGCCAGCCCAGTGGCGCAAGCGGTTAAGTGCGTGCGCTCTGCTGCGGCGGCTCGGGATTTGCCGGTTCGGATCCCGGGCGTGCACCGACGCGCTGCTGGGCAAGCCATGCTGTGGCAGCATCCCATATAAAGTGGAAGAAGGTGGGCATGGATGTTAGCCCGGGGCCAGTCTTCCTCAGCAAAAAAAGAGGATTGGCAGATGTTAGCACAGGGCTGATCTCCTCACACACACAAAATAAAAATAAAAATAAAAATGATAAAAACACTCAACAAACTAGGAATAGAAAGAAATCACCTCAACAAAACAAAAGCCATGTATGAAAAAACCACAGCAAACATCATATTCAATGGTGAAAGAGTGGAAGGTTTTCTTCTAAGATCAGGAACAAGGCATGGCTGTTTGCTTTCACTACTTCTAGTCAACAGAGAACTGGATGTTCTAGCCAGAGCAATTATATAAGACAAAGAAATAAAAAGTGTGCAAATTGGAAAGGAAGAAGTAAAATTATCTCTGTTCACAGATGACATGATTTTATATGTTGAAAACCCTAAAGAATCCACAAAAAAACTGGTAGAGCTAATAAATGAATCCAAAAAAGTAACAAGATACAAAGTCAACACACAAAAATCAATTGCATTTCTATATACGAACAATAAACAACCTGAAAAGGAAATTACAAAGACAATTTCATTTATAATTGCATCAAAATAATAAAATACTTGGGAATTAACTTAACCAAGGAGATGAAAGACTTGTACAATGAAAACTACAAATCATTGCTGAAAGAAATTAACGACATAAATAAATAGAAATGGAAACACATCCCATGTTCATAGATTGGAAGATTTAATATTGTTAAGATGTTCATACTACCCAAAGCAATCTATAAATTTAATGCAATATCTATAGAAATCCCAGTGGCATTTTCTGCAAAAATAGAAAAACCCATCCTAAAATCCACATGGAATCTCAACGGACTCCAAATAGCCAAAACGATCTTAAAAAAGAACAAAGCTGGAGGACTCACACTTGCTGATTTCAAAACTTACTACAAAGCTACAGTAATGAAAATAGAGTGGTACCGGCATAAAAACAGACATATAGACCAATGGAACAAAATAGAGAGCCAAGAAATAAACCCTTGTATATATGGTCACATGACTTTTGACAAGGGTGCCAAGTCCATTCAACGAGGAAAGGGCATTTTTCAACAAATGGCCAATAAGCACATGAACTGATGCTCAACATCACTAATCATTAGGGAAATGCAAATTAAAACTATAATGAGGTATCACTTCACACACATCAGGATGGCTACTATCAAAGAAACAGAAAATAACAGGTGTTAGAAAGGATGTGGAAAAACTGGAACTCTTGTGCATTGTTGGTGGGAATATAAAATGGTACAGCCCCTGTGGAGTACAGTATGGCAGCTGCTAAAAAAATTAAAAATAGAATTACCATATGACCCAGCAATTCCAATTCTGGGTATATATCCAAAAAAAATGACAGCAAGGTCTTGAAGAGATCTTTGTATACCCAGGTTCATAACAGCATTATTCATAATAACTAAAACCTGAAAGCAAACCAAGTGGCCACTGATGGATGAATAGATAAGCCACATGTGGTATATATAAGCAATGGATATTAATTAGCTTGGAAAAAAAAGAAAATCCTGACATATGCTACAACATAGATGACCTTGAGAACATTATGCTGAATGAAATAAACCAGTCACAAAAAGACAAATACTGTATGATTCCACTTATATGAAGTACTTAGAGTAGTCAAAGTCATAGAGACGGAAAGTAAAATGAATGGTAGTTGCCAGGGGCTGGAAGTAGGGGGGAATAGGATGGGTTCCTATTTAATGGGTACACAGTTTCAGTTTTATAAGATGAAAAGTGTCCTGGACATGGACAGTGGTGATGGCTGCACAACATTATGAATGTATTTAATACCACTGAACTGTACGCTTAAAAATGGTGAATTTTATGTTATGTGTATTTCACCACATTAAAAACATTTTTTTTTTTTTTTTGTGAGGAAGATTAGCCCTGAGCTAACATCCGTTGCCAATCCTCCTCTTTTTGCTGAGGAAGATTGGCCCTGGGCTAACATCCGTGCCCATCGTCCTCTACTTTATATAGGACACTGCCACAGCATGGCTTGACAAGCGGTGCGTTGGTGCACGCCCGGGATCCAAACCTGTGAACCCTGGGCCGCCACGGCGGAGGGTGCGCACTTACCTGCTACGCCACCAGGCCGGCCCCCTAAAAACATTTTTTAAAAAAGAGTAGGGGTGGGAGACTTACTTTGAATAGCTTGAATTAACCAAGTGCATATATTACCCATTAAAAATTCTTTTTAAATTTCTAAAACCTTAGTTTCAAAAATGTTCAATGTTCATATTCTCAATGTCGATGCTCTTAACCTAAAGAGCAAAAAGCAAATAAACAGAAATACTGTGGACATATTTTATAATTCCTATGAAAAGTGTTTGGTGTCAGGGACTTCTTGTAGGCCTTAGGTATAACTGATTGTATGGCTTCCTCCATTAATCCAAAGCACAGCCAAAAATAGCCTATTAAATTTCTAGGCACAGAGGGTTCTCCAACATGAGGTAGCTATAGCACAAAACTGTTAGGTAGACTAAACAGTTTCCAGACTAATAAATATTCTATAAATTTTTTTTAAATTTAATTTTTTTTTTTTTTTTTTTTTTGGTGAGGAAGATTGGCCCTGAGCTAACATCTGTGCCAATCTTTCTCCACTTTGTATGCAGGACGCCACCACAGCATGGCTTGATGAGCAGTGTGTAGGTCTGTGCCCAGGATACAAACCCGTGAACTCCAGGCCGCTAAAGCAGAATGCACGAACTTAACCACTATGCCACCCGGCCAGCCCCTAAAATTTAAATTTTAACTGGAGTTCCAAGGGTTAAACTCACAGATTTCTCCCTCCATCTTGCTGTATTGCTCACATGCTTTTTTTGGAATAGGGTTATCTGTTGTACCTACCCTTGGAATTGGGATTAAGTGGGAAAAACAGTTAACACAGTAGCAATTTAAAAACTACAGGAAGCTTTATTTAGTAAGCTTAAATTCCTATCCATGTCAAACACTGCCTGGAAGCCAGGAAAGGAATTGATTTTCAGGGCTAAAATATCAAGATGCTATTTTGAGGGAAACAGGAAAGAAAAATGCAGGAATCAAATTGGGTCTTATGGCTGGCACCTTGACTGAGGAGGAACATGCTGGAAAACAGGCCATCCTAGGGATACTGAAAAGTTATACCTTCTCGCCACCAAACACTTGGATTTGGAACACAGACTTATAAGGATTATGTGGGTCTTCCCCCTGTATCCGTCCTTACCTCCCACCCCATTCCCAATTCTTCTACTTGTCATATAGTTTTCAACTTTACAGAGGCTGCACCTTGAAGCAGGAGTTAAGGGGAAAAAGTAGTGTTTGACAGGCACCTCCTGTCCCACCCTGCATTAATTCACCTCCACACTTCGATGGAAACAATCCAATACTTACTGATACTCAGCCACACAGTCCAGCAGACCTCCATACTTTAAGGCCTCATGTTGAATGGCGCTTTCCAGAGCTCGCACTGCACTGACATCTTTCAGAATATGCTGGACACTTTCGATGTAGCCAGATTCAAGATTTTCATCTCTGCCTTTTAAGTTTCCCTGGGGTGAAAGTATGCTTTCCAAGGCTTTATGGAATCGTTTCCCTTGTAAAAATATGTCTGAAAAGGAAATCAGGGGAAAAGGAAAACAAGACAAAACCAAAGCTAGTACTAAAAAATACTCTAAAAAACTGAACAATAAAATTAAAATTACATACGAGTTACCTTTAAGTGACAATCCCTAACACACCACATTTCAGCCTCTTGTGAAACCTAAGAATGCACTTTGAAATCCAAAGGGACTAGAATAGTTTAGACAATAAAATGGATTAAAATGCAGTATTTCTGGTAGAATTAGGCCAAAGCTAGAACTGAAGATCTGGGTGCTATAGAACCCCACCTAGTTTACAGTACTGTGAATTTAAGTACCCATTTTAGTAAGTTAACTGGTTGTAATAGTTATTAGAAATTTAGGGAACCGTGCTTCTGTTCATAGTTCTTTTTAAAACCAAAACTTAATGATGAACATAGGTGGGAGAATCCTTTTATTAACAGGCTTAGTGACTGGCAAGAAATGAAAATTGAGGCACATACAAATTAAATACAAGAAATTGGATGTTGCGGGACTTGGGGGGCAGAACTTGTGACATTCTTCTCCTGCACTTTTTTTTAAGGCTAGACTAGCCTAAGACAGTTGCTCTGTTCTAAATTTTTTTCCTCATACACTTAAGAAGAGAGAACACAAACATATTCAACAGATGCAAGAAATATTACATATTCACTTGACTCTTGATAAGGGAAGGAGAGAAAGAAAGAAAGAGTGGGCATTGTTGTGCTAAGCAGTGGCCTTGGCTCTTTCAAAATATTATTTAACTTTCAAACACAACAACTTGTTAAGATAAGGATCATTACTCTCATTTTAATAAATGAGAGCTAGGCGGTGTTGTTAATTTGCTCAAAAGCAAATAGCTGGACAGGCAGCCTGGCACCAGAGTCTATATTCATTCTAGTCTACCACACGGCAGAGTAAGGGAGGCAAACTCTGGGACCATCATTTCGATACACACAGAAAGAGTAGGATATATACTTTTTTGGAGACAGACCCACAGAAAACGAGGAAAACAATCTCATCTAATGAGGTAATATCAAACCATATTACTACCAAGCAAACAGACAACTTATTCCCCACTGCAGACTTAACCCCTGGTTGTTCACAAGTAAGAGGCAACAATATGGGAATCTAGATTATAGGATCCCTTACATTGTAAGGCTCAGGTTAAAAACGATTCAAATTGTCAAAATAAATTTTAAAAGATTCAAGATTTGCAGATAGCATAAGTCAGTATTCACTCAATAAATTAAAGGAATGAAGGTGAAATGTTTTCAAGTCCCACTATATAAAGTGCATTAAAAAAAAATTCATGAATCTCCAATATTCTGACTGACAGAACTGGCAGGATGGATAATATTTTAGGATTTAAAAATCAGTGTAGCAAAAACCTGCAAAAATAAACCCCAGCCCTTTCCACTATGATCAATACTTGAATATAAATCAGGGTTAAGCCAGACTTTTTCTTATCCTTGGCAATATTCAAAAGGTAAAGTGATGCTTGGGAAATTGACCGTTTGAGAATGCCAGCTCTCAGCACATCTCTATGCTCTGGCCTTTCGCAACACCAGGCAGAAAAGAATCTATCAATCTAGTATTTTTAAAACTGTCTCTCCTGACCCATTAATCAATGTAGTAGGTTATGACATGCTTTTTTTTTTCTTTCTTATTCCTTTTTTGTCGGCCACAACTCTAATCTGTAGGTGATTGCCCCCTTATGGGAAAAGAAAACGTGCTTCTGCCTGTTAAGGTTGGTCCCAAGTTAACTGCAAAACACATCCTAGTAATCTAGATCAACAGTTGACTCTATGGAAAACAACTGTAGTTTTCTCTCTGCCTGGGATAGTGGGGCTAATTCATATTCCAAACAGAAATTCCTCTTCTTTATCAAAGGGGCGACCAGAGCATTTCTTTATTTTGGGCCAAGAGCTACAGACCTAGGTTCCCACATATCCCAGCAGGTTTCTGCCTTAGTGTTTCTTAGATTCCCACAAGCTGTGACATTCCTGGTTTAAGGAAAATCAAAACTTCTCATGAGGAAACAATGTCAATTCTAAATTCTAGTGGTACACAGAAATAACTTAAGATGTCATTAAAAGATTTTTTTTTTATGTTGCTTGTTTAGAAAGCAGAGAATAGTTTGGTGGTTGTTACTTATTAACTATCTTAAGAAGGCAGTTAGCCCCTGCATATATTCCTTGCCACAAACAGCTGAGGAATGTTAAAACAGGCTAGTGCCTTGACCATTTTTGCCATACCCAGGTGCCACCTATATAAAGTTAATATTTTTCTTTAAAACACACGTGACCACATGTTTAATATGTTAGGCACACACAGTTTTTTTTAAGATGCCTCAAACTAAGTACATTACTCAACAGTAAAAATAAAAGTGCTTGTGTATCACTAGGGGCACAGATACTGCTCTCTGGGAGGCACAGGCTAAAGAATGATCAATGTGCAACAGCTTTAACAAAAGACAACTATGTGATCCTGTTGGGGACCAGCTAATTCACCTGTGCCAATGGTTTTTCCTTTCATCTTGCTTTTGAATGAATCTGTTTTAAGGAAGCTATTCTCACTTGTCTAAGAAGTTAGCAAGTTAGGAATTGAAGGCTAAAGTTTATTACTCTCAGTTCCTAATCAAGAGCATTTGATTATCTCAATTTACCAAGATCTAAATACAGATCATGGGCCGGCCCCGTGGCTTAGCGGTTGGGTGCCTGCTGGCGGCCCGGGTTCGCATCCCGGGCGTGCGCCGATGCACCGCTTCTCCGGACATGCTGAGGCCGCGTCCCACGTACAGCAACTAGAAGGATGTGCAGCTATGACATACAACTATCTACTGGGGCCTTGGGGATAAAAAGGAGGAGGATTGGCAGTGGACGTTAACTCAGAGCCGGTCTTCCTCAGCAAAAAGAGGAGGATTAGCAGGGATGTTAGCTCAGGGCTGATCTTCCTTCACAAAAAAATAAAATAAAAAATAAAAAATAAAACATCATTAAATATAGATCATGTGTTCTGGCTAATTGTTTACAAGTCAGTCTGCTGGTAAGTACAGCAAGGGGGTATTTACTAGATTCTGAACAGAATACTTAGCAAACAACTAGAATTCCATTATCTGGTGATTGACTCTTTTCCATAATCAAAGAAAACAGGCAATTCTAATACTTAAGTTTGTAGTTACAAAATAAATGAATTTTATACATCACTTAGTCAAAGTACTTGATTTTTGTGCTTCCGTTTCATCTATGAAATGGGGATAAAAGTATCTGTGCTTCATAAGGTTGCCATGAGGAGTTAATACATAAAGTGCTATTTAATGCTAATTATTATCATTTGAAAGTAGTTCATCACTAGTTAAAGTTAAAAAAAACTCATTCTTTTGACACTGGTGCTCTATTGATTCTAGAAAACACAGTAAACCGTACAAAAGCAGGACTGAGAAAATTACTTGAAGTATATTCTGCAAAGCCATCCTCTCCCAGTTCTAGAATCATCCGCTGTTTCCACCTCTCCAAATAGAAAACCTGGTCCGATGTCATGGTCTGCTGAAGGATCCGGGTCACACTTGGTATCATATTCCTTTGCAGAGGGACTTTCAAAGGAATTGTAGCATCACTTGTCGCATTTGGTTTTACCCCTCTCTCTGGGTTGAAGAGAGGAAACCAGTTTTGTGGAACTCTTGCTTCCTCACCCTGCTTTGGGGGCTTACACTTACTCACAGGTCCATAGAGTAAAGTATCTTCCTCGAACAACGATTCTGGAGTCTGACAGTGACCTTTGAATGACAAGACAGACCGCACTAAATCAGAGTACTTTTCTTGGTCCACTTTTTCATAAGGATTCACTGTTTTCTTTCGGCCACATGAATAACAGGAAGTGGAGAAACCCACACGAGGGGCTGGTTCTACAGAAAACCCCTTTGAACGTGTCAACTGCCTGCAGATGGTCTGAAATGCCTTCATCTCGAGATTTTTTTCACTTCTCTCTGGTCTACTTCAGCGCTGAGGGCGTTTGCAATGTTTGCATTCCTATTAAAGAGAAAAGTGGTGTTAGAGGCCATACGTGATAAATCCTCGCACCATCAAGTGAAAGCTGCCTCAGCACGATACTGCACATGAAGACTGTATTCCATAAGCTTTCTCGACATGTTGGGAAAAAGCTCTTTCAAAGAAAGACTCGCATCAATACCAGGACCAGCGCTTATTAATTGCGACAAAGTAGACAGGTTGGGGCAGGACGTCCCCAGGACTCAAGCTGAAGAAACGGGACGCCTAGAAAAGGAGGCGTGAGAGATTGAGAGAGCAAGAGAAGGCTGGAGCCCGTCCCACAGCGGCCATGACAGTCACAGTCAACAGCTAACCGCCGACCCCTCAACACCGGGTTCCGTGCTCAGTAGTGTGTGGAGGCTTCTCATTCAACCCGCGCACGCTCTAAGGTGGGTACTGCTGCGACCCCGTTCCACAGTCGTGGAAATGGAGCTGCGGAAGGGTCACGTCAGGTCGGAGCCGGTAAGCGGCGGTCTGCAGGGCCCACCACCGTGATGCCCAGAAAGCAGCCTCCCGTTCCGCCGTTGCTGTGGGACCAGGGTGGGGAAAGGACGGCTGTGGTCCCTCGGGTGGGAGTCAGGATTAGGGAAGAGACGGTTTAAACAGAAGCCCGGCCCACGGCAGAAGTAGATACCTCAGACGCCACCACACTTCGCTTTACTCCCAGAACACGAACAACCTCGCGGAACCCTTACTTTCATTAGTCGCGCGCTTTGGCCTCGAGTTAGTCCCCGCCTAAGAACGGCGGTCCCAGCATGCACTGCGGCGCTCACGCCCCGCCCCTAGCTCGTCGTTCACCTCCGTAGACACTCATGCGATCCGTGGGGAGTCCCTCCCCTCGGGCGAAAGCGCGGGCGCTTCCAACTCGCGCTCTTTCGCTCTCGCGAGATCGTGTTACGTCACAGCTCGCCGCCATCTTGGACTCTGGCTGAGTAATAAATTCCCCCGCACCAGAGTGTGGTCTTTCTTGAAACGTTCCTAGCTGGGAGGGTCTTCGTCGCTCTGCGTCCCGTGTTGCTCCTGCAGTTGGCGGTTTGCGCGCGGCCCGGAGCGAGGGTAGGCCCCGCGTAGCTTCTTTGCCCGGCTCCAAGATGGACGGCAGCGGGGACGGGGGAGGCCGCTCTGGGGGACCACGTGGCGTGCCGCTCGCCTTGCCCGGGGCTGCTGGGATGGTGGCGGAGTCTCGAGGCCTCCCACCGCCGTCGGGCAGGGAGGCTAGCGGAGGCGGGGCCGCGGCCGCTCGTGAGAGGCGCCCTGGCGGCGGCCCAGCCTCCTCTTTCCTCGCACAGCCAGGCGGCCCCCGCTGGAGGCTCGCGTCGCCATGGCCGCGGTTCCCGAGTTGCTGCAGCAGCAGGAGGAGGACCGCAGCAAGGTGAGGCCCTCCCGCCCTCAGGCTCCGGGACAGGAGGCCCCGCCGACCTCCCCATTCCTTTCTCATCCCCGGGGGCTCTGGGGCGCCTCGTGCACCCGCTCCTCGCGAAGGGCTCCCCGACGCGGAAAGCACCCGCCGGCCGCCGAGCGTCCCCTGCTCGGTCCTCGGAGGGCTGCCCCGGGCGCTCCCCCCGGACCCCGAGGAGGACCCGGAGACGCGGGGCCGTTCCGGCCAGCACGCGCCCCGGGGTCTGCACCCAGCGGCCGCGTGGCGAGTCTCTGGAGACCTGGTGATGTGCTTAGTAGAAGGTTACCAGAATTTCCCTTGGCTTCCTGGAGACTGGGCGGTGAACGTGAAACGCACTCAACAGGCGAGAAACGGCCGAGTTTGGTTTTGTTGCCTCCAAATTGCTCCCTCTCCTTTGAGAAAACACTTTTTGTGGCCCAAATACTGGGGGAATTCCATCACGTCAAACCTGAAGCATGTTCCTTACAGTCTTAACGCTAAATGGCGTCACTGCGGGACTTCTGTCATTTTTCGTAGGTGCTCAAATACTTGTTGAACTTGGTTTTTACTTGTTAAACTTGCATGTTTATGTGGGTTATCTCCACGTCGCTTAAACTTTGAAGTTTGAAAGGTAACTAATGCAGTCAAGTCAAGTCGCAATAGCCAGTTGGAGACAAGCTTACGCTCTTTTATTGGTCCTTTACGTTTAAGTTGGTTTCGCAGTTCATAGAGGTTGGTATGAGCCACGACGTTAGGCACGGAATCTTCAACAGAAGAGTGTTTCTGGCAGAAAATGAAAAAAAAGAAATGTAATCTAAAAAATACAAGATGCGCCCAAATTTAAGTAACCTGGAAGGCATCTTAAAAAATTAAATCTATTTAAACGTCAGAGGCACCTCTGGAAAGTTTTTTATCTAGTTAGTACTGAAGTTCACGCACAGCCGCTGGATTGTTCCAACAGGGGTGTTATTGCTGTATTATTGAAAAGCAATTTTGTGCGTGAAGGTAGCGTCTTAGTTAGGATATTTTTATTTCTTTGAAAGTTGAAAGAAGTAAATTTTTTTGTCTCTTCACTAAAACCGAAAGTGGGAACTGGAGACTACGATTCTTTCTAGAACATTACCAAGGTAGTTTTCTCTTGAGAAGTTTAGGTAAATAGGAATTTTGATAGCAGTTAAAAATTTGTTTTTCTTGATACCTTCTCTGCTTGATCGAGGATATGTTTTAGACAGCTATTTAAAAGGACTTAACTGCTGTAACCGGCCTTCCTATTTGTTAGTACAGTAATCGTAGCTGGTTTTTAAAATAATTTCCCCACGGCTCTGTTCCTCCAGCAAAGTTGGGGTAGGATTATGAAGACTATTTCCTGCCACCTGGTTTTAGTGGCTACAGGAAAGGATTATATAGGATTATTTTCCTTTTGATTTTTTAATTACAGAAATAAGGAAATAATAAAAGTTAACAAGATGTTACCCTAACGCATGGCTTCATTTTGCTTCCTGATCTCTGGTATTAGTTCTGTGCTGTGGAACAGGTCTAGATGGTTTTTACTGATAACCAAAAGGGAGTTTGGGACAAGTGTGAAATAACAGGAGGCCAGATCCTGGGCAAACTATTCTTTCTGTAATAGAGCTTTGTTAGTCAACTGAAGTGTTTTACATTTTTACCGAAAACGTTTTACGTTTAAACTTTCTGATTATTTGCGTTGGAGTTTCCATAAGGATAGGAGTTCATGGGGCTTAGACTCACTAATAAAGTAGGGAACATAATTGATTTTTGAGGGTTTTGAATGCTTGTACAGCACTCTTGATTAGTGCAGCAAAACTGAAAGGAGTGTTAGCCTGTATCTGGTAGCCTGACACTTCCATTTAGTCACATCCTTTAGCTGAAGGTGTTGCGATTTGTCTCCTTTCCCAAAAAGCAGTTTGGAAAAGAGTTGCATGATTAATTTGGTATTTAACTAGTGTTCTGATGGGATAGATTGTATTTTGATCTTTAAATTTAGAAAAGTTGGGTGTTAATAAGTCTAGTCCCTGAAAACGTTAACTAAAGCATTAGCACCGTTAGGCCTCATCCTCATGGTAAAGTAGTACTGCGTGCCGCCCCCCCAAACCCCACTGGATGCAAGTTCTCAGGTGTCTAGAGTTTTTAGTGGGTCGAGGGAAATAATTGGAGATTATGCAGAACCTTGTTCCCCTAAAAGTTATAGTTACTCTGGCGTCCAGTCATTTTGCACCTTCTAGGTCTCAGGTCTTCTGTTTGCCAAAAAGTCATTTACATAGCCGGGCATTGTGGATAGGTTCCCGCTCACAGATTCAATGTGTCTCTTTCTGTGGTGATGAGTCTGGTTCCTGTTAGTCTGGCAAGCCTATGGCAAGTTGAACGTAGGTCCTGATTGTCTCCTGAGACTTTTTATGATTTTTAAATTGCTAGCGGACTGAAGTAAGTTGAGCACATAGGAAAAGCGTTGCAAAGGCTAGGTGATGGCCCTTACAGCCTAGTGCTATTACAATTTGGCCTTAACTTTCACTAGTTGGTTACATGGGCTTTGGGTGAATGGTTTCTCCTCAGAGCCAGTCATTAATGCTTATGTTTATGCTGCTGCTCTGGTTTGCCGGTAGTATTTTGTTAGCTGGTGTGGAAGTTGTCTCTAAGGATACTTGATTCTTCACCAGCTTGGATGGAAGAGTGTCCTACAATTTGTGTTAATGTAGGAACCATCCTGAACTTTTACCAATACTGCAGCAAGTCCAAATTCACTAATTTTTGTGGACTGAAGTTTTCTGCTACACTTAAATGGTTTGGCTTCATTTTTCTTTTTTGAACTCTGGAAGTAGAACTTATCAAAGCTGCCCAAGCCTTAGTTTTCTGGATCAGTAACTTGCACACAATGTCTTAAGGTCCCCATTTGTAAATACTACTTAAGCAAGTCATGATCTGCTTACTTTTTTTTTTTTTCTTTGACTGTAGGAACAAATGGCCAAGGGAGGCTATTATGGAATTTTCTAGATTCTGAGATCTAAATTCTCATTTGGTGTGAGATCTGGTAAGTGACTAGCATCTAATGTGGAGCTTTAGTTTAAACTGGGATTGCTCAACCTCCGAGCACTGTTGACATTTTGGGCTTGGTAATTTTTTGTTTTGGGGAATTGGCCTGTGCATTGTAGGGTGTTTAGCAGTATTCCTGGCCTCTACTAGGTGATAGTAGTTCCCTCCCCTTCAGTAGTGACAGTCAAAAATATATGCATACATTGTCAAATGTCCCTTGGTTGAGAATCAGCGGTTTAAACTTTTCTTTCTAAAAAGGTGTGATGTTATGAGTGGCTCAGGTTCTATTACAGAGGCTAATCTTTAGTGTGCCAGTTTGTTTCAAGTTTTTTCAGGTCTGTGATTGATAAATTCTAAGAAAAGAACATGCTGGATAAATGCTAAGAAAAGAACATGCTGGATAAACATAAGCATCATTGACTATCTTTGGTAGAGTTAGCTTTCCCCCCAATACTGAGGAACCTTATCAAAAGATGGTAAAAGGTGCTTTTCTTTAGCGGGTTCTGGGCAGTTGAGGGTTACAAAGAGACAGCTTTGCGTTTCCTTTGTTGGAGTTCATGCCCACAGTGGACACCTGCGGCTCTGATGCCACAGCACTCAAAGCATTGTGGGCCATAGTTAAAGCTGTAGGGGAGGAAGACATCCTCTGCCCTCTGGGTCCTTCTGGCTGGGGTACGAATTAAATTGACATGAGACAGAATATAACAGGAGAAAATCAAACAAAGGTTTATAATATGTATACTTGGGAGAGACCCAGGAAAAACTGGGTAACTCAACAGAATGGGAGAGACGCTCATCTTAAACACCATCTTCGGCTGAAGATGAAGGAGGATGTTGGGGATAGTGGTTTGGGACTTCAAAGGGGAGGAAGGGAATTCACATGGAGATGGGAAAGCAAATCTTGCTCAACCGAACTTTGATAAGAAGGGGCTTAGCAAGGACCTTACCAGTCTGTCAATACCCAGTTATCTGTGGTGATGGCGTGTCCTGGGGGCAGCCCTTCTATCTTAAATTTCTTTTAGGCAATTAGTGGGAGGAGGTCAAAGTGTCTTTCAGTCTTTTGTTCTTGAACATAATCAAGCCAAGGCAAAGAGACACATTTTGGGGTGGCCAATTCTGATCCCCCACAAAGCTCACTGAGAAACATGCTGGTTTAAACTTGGTTTAAAATCCTGCCTTTTAAACATTTTGCTCTCTATATTGTCAGGGCTTTGTTGCTTGAGGAAATTAGTTTAGACAAGAATAGTTCTGTAGGTTAGTACTCTGAATGCTCCAAATAGCCAGTGGTGAAAGGCCCATGCAATGACCTTAATATTCGGGGAAACAACCTACCTTTTAATGAAGCCAATTATCTTGAGGAAAGTATTTCAGAGCTTTGTGAGTTCTGCCTTTTCTTTTTGAAACTGAAGGAAGATGGCTGTAGGACATCTTGTCTCACGTGAATGTGGTAAACTTATTTTTACAAGTATAAATTGAGAGGTTTCTCTGCGTAATCTAGTTTCCAAAAAGCTACTTTTTTACCTCCAATGCTTATTTATTTTCTGGTTGGCCACTGAGTTACTCTTAAGAAGAGATATCCCTCCTAAAAGAGGGACATGGAATTTGTCAACTGTTTCATGCCCCAAAGGCAAACGGTAGATACCCAGGGTGGAGTGTGTAGTTGCAATGTGAAACACAGGGAGGACTGAACTTACTCAGTTTAGAAATTGGATTCTTGGCTTGACTCCCTCCCCTCTTCTCTTTTGCAAATTTGGTGTAACGTTTTCAGGCACAGCTATGTGGTCTGGAGAGAAAATGTAATTTTCTCAAAAATAGCTGCTTATGTTAATCTGTGGTATGCATCTTCTGCCTGAAGAGTTTATGGTTTACTTGTTTTTGAGGGGCAGACCCCTAAGCCTTCATTCTAGTAAGTGTAAATAGTGAGGAGTCCAAATGCAGATATCACC